CGGAAGTTATTCATGCACTTTTTAGTAATAAAATTCAGATGATGGGTTTGGAAAGAGCCAGATCATTGTGCAATGGCAAAGGCATAGAATTTAGTAAAGGTTTACAAATGATTGAATTTGCATTAATTGTGCCTCTTGTGATAAAAGATTATAATTCAATTATATACCAAAGTCACTTAGCGAATATTTTCATCGTGATGATTTTGCCTCTATTTTTTTGGATTGTTTCACGAATATTGCATTTTCATAAAAAGAAATGGAAAATTGACTACATGGTTCAAATGATCTTTGGATCAGTCATCCCAGAAGAACCTGAAATGTCTGTAGAGAGAATAATTTTTGCAGCATTTCTTATCGGATGCTTAATGTTCTCCTCGGATATTTTTTCATCGATAACGGAAGACCATTTGCCAATTAAACCATCTTTTAAGTATGAAAATTTTCAAGATGTTGTTTCCTCCAATTTGCAGACAATGATTACAAATAACAATTTAATGGTATTGAAGGAGGCCGAAGATTTAACTATGCAAGAGATTTTAAGGAAATCCATTTCAAAGAATGTTACAGAGGAAAAATGTTTGGAGCTGTTATTAAAGTATAAAAACACATCGTGTATTCTTGGCACTGCTTTGGCAGAATTGTTTCTTCAAAGTAAAGTAGATAAATGTGGACAGCAACGAGTTAAGTTTGTGAAAGATAAATTTATATCTTATCCAAGTGCTACATTACTCGGTGCTGGTACTCCTTATGCTAATCGTATGGATCAAATTACTCAAAGACTTATCGACAGCGGTCTCAGTAAAAAGTGGATGGAAACTTATTTTATGAAGAAATTTACTCAAATTGGAAGATCTTGTACTTCCAAACAAGTGGAATCCGTTATGACGACTCGACAATTGTTTTATATTCTCGCTATTGGATTTTCATTTTCGTTTCTCACTTTTATTCTCGAATTAATTATTTATTATGTTTTGAAATAGAGCAAATTGTATTTGGAAGAATGTTATATTTTGTTCTTGTAAAATACTGAATAGATTGATCAACCGATAGTATAGCTTGGGCGGTGAAGCGTCTTGGCTTGCGGTCGCCGAGGTTAAGCACATCCAAGCACGGTTAGTACTTGGATGGGTGACCGCCTCGGTACCCGCTATAGCCCTGGTGTTTTCGCTGCAATCGAGATATACTAAGCGGGAGATTTGACGTCGAGGATATGTTTGTTCATTTGGATGACTATTTAAATGTACATTCATGACTCGACAGTCAATAAACCGGCTGTATTCAGTAGAGATTTTCCGTAGTTTCCCTCTACTCTGATCAAGAAAGGGTCAGGCAAATGCGAATACTTCTAATAAAAGTCGGCTACGGACCGCAATTTGGGGACTTGGGAATTTGGGATTTTCAAAAGGGGAGGAAAGGTGAGGTTAAAAGATGGGGTATAGAGAGCGTAAAAGCCTTAAAAAGGTGTACGCGGGAAATCTGAAATAAAAAAAAAATAAAATACTGAATAGATTGATCTGTGATTTGGGGGAGAAGTAAAAAATTTTAAATATATAATAAGAAACGTCTGTAGTAAATCAAGTTTTTATATATTGTTGAATTAAAAAATTTTGCGAAAATGGATAGAAAATCCTTATACATGACAATGTTTTTAACAATATTTTAGATTTCTCCATAAAATCTCAAAGTCACATCAATCAGTTCAATATATTATTTGAAGAGTGCAGATGCAGACAAAATTAACATTACAGCGATGAGGTCACCTAATAATCAGTTAATGAAACAAATTAATTAAATTTGTTAAATAAAAAATTTGACTTGACAAGGCGACAACCACAAATAATAACAAAGAGCAGAGTTAAAATTTACCGAAAAACTTGTGGTGTCATTTATGAAAGCCACTCAAAAAAAAACATATTGAACAATAATTTTAATTATTTTCCCAAAGGTTGTAAGCGATTTATTTTTCAAGAAAATTATTAGTTACTTAACCTTCGCAAAAATACTCATATTTTATCAAATTTTTCCATCAAAAACATAAAAATTGTATTATGCAAGGAAAAAAAACATAAAAACCTTAATTATTTGCTATTGATTTTTTCTATTATTAAAATACACCTGTTTAAAAAAATAAAGATATAGAACAAACCTGACATAATACTTCTAAACCCGTTTGACGATGGTAAATATCTGGTCAGTTCGAATTGATAAACTAAAGCCTGATTTTTGTATTTGTAACAAACGTTAAAGAATTAAAAATTAAAAATATTTGTTGGTATTTAAACCTTTTCAAAAGTGTGAGAATTTAAATTCATGGAAACAATGTTTTTAAAAAAAGTTTGAATCTATTCCATTAAATTGGATTTATCCGTCACAAAATTCGTAAATGATCTGGAAATGATAATGAAGCTAATTATAATAATTGGACTCATAATTATTAACAGTCTTAAAGTAGGAGGTAATGGCATTAAATGGATTAAAGGCTTTACAACAAGTGTTAGAAATGATCGACACATTTATCAAGCTATATTTTTCAACGATGAAAAATGCGTGGAATCAAATGAAATTTTAAGAAATCTGATCAAGGAGTTTTCTAAAATTACTCCTGTTCTAGATTTTGATGTACCAAAATCTATAACACCAACAAAATTGGATTACGTTACTTACAATCCACGGATTTCGCTATTTATTCTCACAAATTCCAAAAGTGATCCTCAATTTACTAAATCATTTGATTATTTGACACAGCTCTCAGAATCAAAACGACGACCAAAATGTTTGCTTCTACTTTCCCACGAGCTTTCGAATTATGGTAAATTTTTCGAAACGCTCTGGACTGATCAATTCCTGGATGTTACTATTATCGAAATTCGAAATCGTATTATTAAAATTGATTTAAAATATCAAGAGAAATATTATCAATCAGATTTTAATATTCTGCATTACAATCCATTCTTAAAATTGATTACCAATGAAACTGTTTCTGCAAAAACAATTTGGTTTCCGGACAAGCTGAAAAATATGCACGGCTATCTACTAAATGTGTCTTTACTACCGTCACCTCCGGATGTATTACAAAAAAGAAATCAATTAGAAAAAGGTTCTGGATTAGCAATGTCGAAAATAGAAAGCTTAAAAGAAGTTATGAATTTCACGTTTGTGAATCTAACATTTAATGATTGGGGAAGATTGATATGTAACAAAGAGGAAAGTACGGAAGTTATTCATGCACTTTTCAGTAATAAAATTCAGATGATGGGTTTGGAAAGAGCCAGATCATTGTGCAATGGCAAAGGCATAGAATTTAGTAAAGGTTTACAAATGATTGAATTTGCTTTGATTGTGCCTCTTGTGATAAAAGATGATAATTCAATTATATACCAAAGTCACTTAGCGAATATTTTCGTGGTGATGATTTTGCCTCTATTTTTTTGGATTGTTTCACGAATATTGCATTTTCATAAAAAGAAATGGAAAATTGACTACATGGTTCGAATGATCTTTGGATCAGTAATCCCAGAAGAACCTGAAATGTCTATAGAGAGAATAATTTTTGCAGCATTTCTTATCGGATGCTTAATGTTCTCCTCGGATATTTTTTCATCGATAACGGAAGACCATTTGCCAATTAAACCATCTTTTAAGTATGAAAATTTTCAAGATGTTATTTCCTCCAATTTGCAGACAATGATTTCAAATAACAATTTAATGGTATTGAAGGAGGCCGAGGATTTAACTATGCAAGAGATTTTAAGTAAATCCATTTCAAAGAATGTTACAGAGGAGAAATGTTTGGAGCTGTTATTAAAGTATAAAAACACATCGTGTATTCTTGGCACTGCTTTGGCAGAATTGTTTCTTCAAAGTAAAGTAGATAAATGTGGACAGCAACGTGTTAAGTTTGTGAAAGATAAATTTATATCTTATCCAAGTGCTACATTACTCGGTGCTGGTACTCCTTATGCTAATCGTATGGATCAAATTACTCAAAGACTTATCGACAGCGGTCTCAGTAAAAAGTGGATGGAAACTTATTCTATGAGGAAATTTACTCAAATTGGAAGATCTTGCACTTCTAAACAAGTGGAATCCTTTATGACAACTCGAGAAATGATTTTTATTCTCGCTATTGGATTTTTATTTTCGTTTCTCACTTTTATTCTCGAATTAATTATATATCGTATCTTGAAAAATTAATGAGAGATATTGGAGTTATTTGGGAATGACTATTGTTACTAATAATTGAAAATATTGAAATTTTTTAAGAAATTGAGTAGCAAAATCCGAAATCAGAATTTTTAATATAGAAATTTGAAATTCAAAAATTAGAACCGTAATTTTTCTTACAAAAAAATGTCATCACTATTGGAATTATTTTGTTTTGCAACTGAGAATAATAATTATAATAATAATAGTTATTAAATTTAAATTTTTTTTCAATTTTTTGAAGGATAATATTTGAAGTAAAAAAGCAGATCTCTTCTTAATGTCATTAGAACAACGTTTCGTTGAATAGTTCTGTCAACCTCATCAGGTTCTTATTTATTGAAAAAGCACAATTAATAAAAAATTTAAACTCTCAAAAAAATTATAAAACAATATTAAAATTAATTACCTAGATATTCAAAACACGTCACAAATAATTATCATTATTATAAAAACTCGTCAAATATAAAATTAAAAAAATAATTAGAAATAAAAAAATAATAGTTATTATTATTGTAATTTTGGGATATAAATTTATCGTGTCCTTTTTTTTGTTAGTTCCTGATTCAATAATGTTGATGTCGCAAAAAATTGACAATGAAAAAGAAATATAAAAATAAATGTCATATTCATTGATAATAATTATATTCGCATTTATATATTAACTACCAGTTAAATGTTGTTAATACTTTTTTTAGAAGAAAAAAAAAGAAAAATTGTCATTGTGAAGAAATTATTTACAATTTCTATTTTGTTAGGGGATTTTTTTTTAATGAATTGTCATTACTTTTTCTCAGCGAACAAGCAAGTTGTGTTGTCGGAAGTCCAAGAGTTGTCAAACATCAACTTCTTGAATTGCTGTCACCAATTTCATTTCATCATGGAGTGAATTTTCTTGCTGCTGTTGCTGTTGCTTGGCACGAGAGACGACTTCCTTCCGTTAACACAAAAAGAGTAATTTATCATTTTTTCTCACATTTTATTTTATTAATTAATTTATTTATTTATTTAGCTATAGGCAATATAATTATTTATTGTACTTTTAAATTTTAATAATAATTTTAATTATTAATAATGTATTTAATAATTTATTTATTTTACTTTTTTTTTGTTTTTGCTTTTGTTGTAATTTAAATAAATAATTATATATATTCTTTATTTTTTTCACAGGTAATACCCGAAGCCTGTCCAAATCAACAAGTGATCGTTCATTTGGTGAGCGCAATTCGTGTAATGCCATTTGATACTTTAGTTCAAACTGTTCAACAAGTTGTAAAAGGTCCACCGCCAATTCAAGGTGTTAAACAAGATTTTTCATTGGAAGTTTCAGTTTTAGAATTACTCTATGTTTATATGCAAAGTAATACATCACAATCGCTCGTTGAATCGTGGACTTCTTTACTTGGTTTATTAAAAGATGGATTATCATTAACGGCACCGGCACAATTTCTTTTGCTTGCAATTTTAAATGAATATGTGCAAAAATGTCCTCCAATGCAGGAGAAAAAGGATATTCGCGATTTGCAAGATATTTCTGCTAAGGTTTGACATGAATAAATTGATAATAGAAAATCAATTTTTCCCATAGTTTAGTGAATCGATTTTAATGAGTTTTGAATACAGTATATTGAAAAAAAAATACATTAAATAATCGATGTTGGTATTTTTATAACTTACAATAAGCAATATCATGTAAAAGCTTTTCCTTCACTATATCGACTATTTGAAATTCTTTTTTGTCTTCTATATATTTATGTTTTGAATATTGTTAAAAATTTATTAAAATCACTTCAATATTTTATGGAAAAAATTGAATTTATTTTTCAAATTTTTTAAATTATAAAAATTAAAATTTTGCTTTTTAAATTGTAGTTAATTGAATCTTGCTCGCAAATTGCTGGCGCATGTTTGGAGCAAACAACATGGCTAAGAAGAAATTTGGCAGTACGAGAAGATGCTTTTGATGTTGCTGAGAGTACGTCCGAAGGTAAAGAAGGAAAAAGCGGTGCTGGTACGTAAAATATAATTTCAAAAATGTTTATTATATTTCATCGTGTTTTTGGAGAAATTTATTAAAAAAAAAAAATTATATTTTTTTCTATTTCTTTTCAGTCACACCGGGAACACCGCCAAATTCTGCATACAGTGTTCAAGCGCAAACTGTTCTTGCTGAAATTTTGGCACCCTTATTGGACGTTAGTTATGGATCACAAGAAAAAGAGAGAGTCGCAACTTTATTGACAAATCTTATGTATAACGTTACACCGTATTTAAAAAATCACACGTTAGTAATTTTTTTTATATCTATTTTTATTTTCCGTCTTTTTTTCAAATTCTTTCACTTTTTTTTTTTTTTCATTGATTTTTTCGGTAAATGTTGAAAAATTTTTATTTACTCATTTGTTAAAACTTTTTTCCGTTATACGGAGAAAATTAAAACTAAAAAGAAAATACAAATTTTTAAAGAAGAAATTTGGTTTAAATATAAAAATTTTATTTGTGATTAATTAAATTTTTTTTATTTAAAATAAATATAAAAGTATTAGGCTCTGTGACAAATTTCCTTTTTATTTGACGCAAGAATAGAATTTTATAAAATATTTAAAAAAAAATAATAAATATTTATTTTATTTTTGGAAATAGGACGAAAAATATCGCATCTTTCACTGCCTGTTCACAACTTTTGAGTTCGTTGTCAGGATATCAGTATACGAGAAAAGCGTGGCGTAAAGATGTTCTCGAATTGTTGCTAGATCCTGCATTTTTTCAAATGACTCCTGCCTGTTTGCCATATTGGCGAACAATAATTGACAATTTAATGACACACGATAATACGACTTTCAGGGATCTTCTTAGTAAGTTTTATTATTTTTCAATTTTTTTTTTTATCTTTTAATACTTTTTTTTAATTATAATTAATTATCATTAATCTATTTATCTTTCAGTATTTTAATAATGTAGAAAATTAATTAACTATTTAATACATTTTTTTTTATCGAATTATTTTGAAAAAATATTTAATTCTAATTGTATAATAATTATAAAAAATATTCCAATAGTAAATGATGAAAATTTTTTGTGTCTTAGTTTGCAAATTTATTTTTTTTTTATTGTTTATCTAAAAATTAGAAAAATATTTGTTTCAAAATGCTTTTCTACCTTTTTGAATGTTTATACATTACCTTTTAATATTGTATTGAAATAATTTTTAAATTTTGTTTCATATTTAGTTAATATATACATTTATTTGTTCTTTATTTATTTATTTGTTCAAATTTTTTTTTATCATTATTTCTTTTTTTTATCGCAGATAAAGTTTCTTTGGCACAGAGCAGTAGTATCAGTATTTTTTCATCTAAGGAACAAGAATACGAACAAAGAGCACAATTTTTGAAAAGACTCGCTTTTGTCATACTTTGCAGTGAAATGGATCAATATCATAAATACATGCCTGAAATTCAAGGTAATTTTATAATTTTATCTTCTTTTTTTCATCATTTTTTAAATTAATTTTTAATAATTAATTACTTTTTTTTAAATAAAATCGTTTTAAACAGTTCGTATGTTTTTAAATTCAATTTCAATTAAAAGCAATTAAATTCAAAATTAGAATTCAAAATTAATTAAAATTTAATTAAAATTAAATTTACTATAAATTTTAAAATTAATTTTTAAAAAATTTCTATTCTTTAATAATAATTATTTGAGTCTGAAAAAAATACTATAAAAAAAACCATTTTTTCTATTGATTTGATTTAAAATTTTGAAATTTTTCAGAACGTTTGGCAGACAGTTTGCGTCTTCCTCAAGTGATACCGTCAATTCAGGCACAAGTGTTTTTATGTTTTCGTGTTTTGCTTTTGCGAATGTCGCCGCAACATGCGACTTCCTTGTGGCCTGTAATTGTTAGTGAATTGGTTCAAGTTTTTCTTCATATTGAACAAGAACTCACCACCGACACTGAAGAATTCAGGTACAAATTACGATAAAAAAAAAAAAAAATAATAATAATAATAATTCTCATTGCTTGTATTTATTAGGCTTTTTGCATGCTTTCACAAATTGGGTTTTTAAATAAAATTCACTCATTTTTATTGGATTTTAAAAGAGACTCCTTTTATTTTTTATTACTATTTACTTGAGATGAATTAAAAGAAAAGAATTTTTTTGAAATGAAATTTTTTTTTATTTCTTTTTTATCTCTTTCTTTTTGTCAAGAATTTTCATTTTAATTTCTTTTTCTCATGTTTTAGAAAGAGAAAAAAAAAATTATCTCGTTAAATCTTTATAACAAAATTTTTTTTTTGTTTGCAATTAAAAAATTTATATATATTTATTTCGAAATTTCCGTTTTTTAAAGATTTTTTTTTGAAATTTAATAGTATTTTTTTATTAAGTAATTTAGAAAAATTATTTTTTTTTTGCCATTGAAAATATGAAAAAAATTTATTTTCATAAAAATTCAATAATATTGATTGTAAAATTAATTTGTGAATGGAAATTAATTTAAAATTTTATTAAATAAAGATTTTAAATAAAAATAAAAAAAAAAATAATAATAATAGGAAGAAGAATAAATGTGAGTCTCACTTTAGATCCAAGTATTAATGACGAAGATTAAAATTTCACTTTAATTAAAGACTTGTAATTTAGTTAATGGCAAAAACCAGAGCATCTGCTTTACTAACTTCATAATTTTCATGTGGTGTTGATGAACGTCCAAAATTTTAATTAATTTTCTATTTATTACCAATATTTAAAATCATTTTCGACGAAAGATATTTATTTTATTAACCATGATATTTAAAAAAATATCAATTGATTTTGCTAAAAGAAAAAGAATATCGAATTTTTTTTTAAAATATTCATATATAATACAGAGTTGTTTGGTTTTATTTATAAATTTTAGATTCATAAAAAATATTTACAATATTCACTAAATATATTTATAACAAAGACATTTATTTTTACACCCAGAGAAAAAATATAATTTTCTCTCAGAGACAATTGAATATTTATTTGTTTCAAATGAATTTTTTTTTTGGTTTAAATAAAAAATTTATTTTATTTTGTTGCGAAATTTTGTGACTACAATTTTATTTATGCTAAATTAAAATTTTTCATTTGAAACAAAAAAAAAGAAAAAAGTTATTAGACTCTGAGACAAAAATATTTTCTTTAATGTAAAGAATGATTGAAATTATTTAAAAAAAAAAAAAAAAAAATTTTTTTTAATCCATATATACATTAATTATCCTAACAAATAAACTAACTTGATCATTGATGCTTTCATGTTTTTTCAATGTTAATGTTAAATTTCCAACTAACAAAAAAACAAATAGCTAATGAAGTGATGTTTTTGGCTCTGTTTTGGCATCCGCGATTTGATGGAATTTGTGGTGCTACCATGTTGGTTGATTGGTGTTGGGATGGCAGTCGTCAGAGCAGGTAAATTGAAAACTTCATGAAATTCGATAAAAATAAACATTTCTTTCCCAGGTGCTTTTCATTCCCTTCTTTTTTTTATATACTGTGAAAATTCTACCAAATTAAAAAAAAAGGTATTAATTGGTAATTTTCCTATTTATTCTAATTATTTCAAAAAAGCAATATAAGTAATTGAAATTAAATTACCTAATTATTTAATTTTGCTTTTTTATTTTATTCAATGTAAATAAAAATGTATTGCTGAAAATTATAAAAAAATGATAATTCAGAGAATAAAGTAATCGAATTTTGAGAATGTACCTACAAACAAAAATAATTGATTCAATAATAATAATAATAATAATTAAGCATGAAAGTGGTCACAAATTTTAATAATATGAAATTTATTAATATTAAAATTATTAACGTAATTAATATTTAACCTGCACAATCTAACAGGAAAAGTTTGTTATAAAATTAAAAGTGCTGATTTCACATTAATATATATATATTTTTTTTTATATTCTTAGAAAATTTTATTTTAAAAAAAAATGTCTTCTTTAAAATTTGTATTTTTCTTTTAATTCGAAATTTTTTTAATTATAAAAATTTGAAAAATTGTTTCATTAGATCACATTCCATCAGCTTTTGTGATATTATGTTTAGCTTGGAAAATTTCCTTCTTTATCTAAGAGAAAAAAAAAAGAAAATAATTAAATTTTTGTGATTTTTTGAGTGTTTGTTTGTCCATTTTTTTGTTTAAAGTACCTTTACGTCGCAGAAATGAAAATGTAATTGAAAAAAAAATGAATTAAATTTTACATATTGATTATTTATATTTTATTTTGATGGTAAATTTCGTTTTTTTTTTTAATTTAACAGTTCGCATATAAAACTTCTTTCGGCATTGGACTCGTCTTGGGCCGTTAATGTGAGTAACGGTCTTCAAGCCCACGGTCATCCACATTGGTTGCAACTTCAATTGGCAGCTGCAAAATTACTTGATTTGGCACTTTTGTTACCAGCACATCGACTTCCTCAATTCCAAATGTAAGTCAACTATTTAATTAATATTTATAGTTATACACAAGAAAATAAAGAAATTAGTTCAAAATTTTTTGTTTTAAGAACATTTTTTTTTTCTCAAAAATATTTAATTTTCGGAAATAACTATTTTAAATAATAATAAAATGTTTCTATTAATTTTGTACTCTTATCAAGGAAATAAATTTATTTTTTTCAAAAATTTCCAAAAAAATGTTTAAAAATAAATATTATTATATTATTAATAAAAAAATTATTTGTTTTAAGGTACAAGTGGGCTTTCGTTGGCGACGCTGCAGCAATTGGCACAGAAAATAATAATTTATCTTCTGATTTTGTTCCACATATTACCAGGATAGCAAAGCTAATGGATAATAAGGTGAGATAATTATTTATTTCAAAAGTCATAATTAGAGCTTCTTTTCGAATAATTTAATTTTAGTTTCAATTTGAGAACAAATTAAAATGTAGAATAATTTATTGCGAATTGAAACATAATTTTTCTAATTGAAATTTAATTCAATTAACAATTGAAATTTAATTGTTTTATATTTTAATAAATATTTATTTCTGTCTCATGAATATTTTTTGCCATAAGTAAATTTTGATTTATTTAAAAAATAAAAATATTTTCTTTTATAATCCAAAAAATAAGAAAATTCAATTTTCATTTTATTTTTGATTTAAGAAATAAACTTTTTTCTTAAACTAACTGAAATTCAGTTTGAGATATTAATAAATTTTGTTGGGCCAAGAAAAACACTTTTATTGCAAAAATATCAACAAAATGTATTTTCTTCTTCAAGACAAATATTAAAAATAAATTTCTAATCTATTACAAAAAACTAACTTCAAATTTGAATATTTGAAGAATTTTCATATTTTGAAACACAAAAATTGTAAAAAATATATTTTCATACATTCCGCAATAGAAACGTTTTTATTAAAATTTTTTTTTTGAAAAAATCGCTATTCTACTTATTTTGTTCGTTGGTTTTTTTTTTTAAAATAATTTTAATTTTCCCATTCATTTTTTTCAGTAATAAATCTACGATTATAAAATACAAAAAATTACAAATAATTAAAGTAATATATTTTTCGCTCGTCGTTAAAATTTTTCAATTATTTTTATTAATTATGTCTCGAAATCGTAAAAATAATCAACGGGCATTTCACATTGTGATGGTAAAACACAATTTTGTATTCTTTTATCAAAGACAAAGTCTTCTTTACATTCACATCCACTTTCACATGGCATATAACAATCAACAGAATTTGGCTCATCGCAAGTAAATTGACAAAGACAATGTGTCCATATTGATTTATCATCACATTTACGATCACTGCTATCACCAAAAATATCTAATTCATCATAATCATAACCGGGAATTCGATGTTTTGTATAGCGATAAATTTTTTCCGGCTCTTCATTATACCAAATTTGTTTGGGCGATGATGTTGCTGTTTTTAATGAATCATCAAAGAAAATTTGTGGAAATTTATTTGGCGTCGAATAAATAATATTACGATTATCAAATTCTCGTTGATCATCAATTTCTTCTTTATATATTTTTGAATTATCAGTCTTTTCATTGACAATGTAAAAATCGTCATTATTCTCCTTTGTTAATTTAGAGTGAAATTTTTTTTCAATTGGATTCACATAGTCATCGTAATATTCTATATCGTAGTCAGAGTCATCAATTCGTTCTAGAGAAGAAAAATTTTCATTTTTTTAATTTAATTTTTCAACAAAAGCATTTGATGTTTTAGACAAAAAAAAAAATTTCATTCTTTCACTCTTTTTCGAAATGATAATTTTGCAATTATTTTGAAAAAAAAATAAAACTAATTTTTTTTAGACGTTTTTAAAATTTTGTTATAAAAATAAAATTCACTTTTTTGAAAAGTAATTGAAAAGTGTTCAATAAAATTGATATTTAAAATAAATTTATTCAAAATTTGACTGACAGAATAAATAGAAACTTCAAAAAAAAAATATATTAAAAATAATTTGAATTATTTTGATAAATATTTTTTTTTTTTTTAAAACTTACGGGCATTGGTGAAAAATAAAATACTTATCAACATCAGAAGCATAGTGACGTTTGATTTGATCATTACAAAGGAAGATTTTATACTATATAGACATCAATAAAGGAAGTAAAATCTAATAATACGATACATTAATACAATGAACTAGCTCAATGAATTTATAAAACGATAACTTTAGCCTCGTTAACAAAGTATGATCATCGTTTTTATTGACAGAAACTCTTCTTCAATTAAATTCATATTTTTCACTTTCAACTAATAACATTACTTTATTCAAAAAAAAAAAAAAAAAAATTATCCACCAATTTATCTGCTAACTAAAAATTTCGATTTGAAAGCTGGCGAGAAACTGAAAGATTCACTTTAGCTGCAAACATTGTACAAAGTTTATTTTTGCAACTAAGCCAATAACCCTTGAGACTGAAAATAAATTTACAATTTTTGTTGTTTCGAATTTTTACTAATTACTGTTTAATTTCTAATTTATTATTAGTATTATTAGTATTTTTATTATAATTTATCAAATTTATTATTTTCCCCAAACAGTAGAGGAAAATTTAAATTTTGCAAACATTTAAATAAAATATACGTTTTTTTTTTATTTTTTGACAAAATTACGAATGGGTTCTGTCCATATATTTTTACTAAATAAATAATTAATAATTAATTAATATAATAATATTAAATATGATGTGTTCAAAATGAAGATATTAAATTGAACATTCAAAATTTGAAATGTATTTACTTGAGTTATAAATAATTACAATCCTTCTCTCTTTTTCTGGACATTATCCAAGAAAATATTCTTGTATCATCTCTTGAAATTCTGAATTTTTTAATTTTCCATAAATACCTATGGAGATAGTTTTCATATATACATATACGAAAAATTAATTGAAAATTGTCTTCAAATAATATTGAAAATATCTTCAATTTAATCAAAATAATTGGAATTATTTTCAAAATTTTCACTAATCAACAGATTTACAAAAATGTTTTTTAAAATTTAATTAAATATTATTATAATTAAAAAAGAATTTTTCAGTTAAAATATTTCTCAACATTTGAATTGATAAAAAATTTCAAAAAAGTCTAAAAAAATAAAATTTCAAAAATTCTTCAAAAATATTAATAATTTGTGATTTTTATTTTTTCTTTAAAGCAGAAACTTACTCTATCATATAAAAAAAAACTATATTGTACTATTTTTTTGTTTTTATTGCATCCAAAAAAATGTTTCTTTGAATCAAAGAATTATTTCTACAATATCAGTGCAAGGAAAAGTTTTCTTTAATTTAAAGAAAATTTATTTAATTTAAAAAAAAATTTAAAGAAATACTTTTTCAATTTCAAACAAAATTTTGAGAATAAAAAAATTTTCTTCAAATCAATAAATTTTCTTTAAATTAAATGAAAACATTTTTATTTTTGACATCAAAGAAATATATAATTGATTCAAAGAAACATTTTTCTGAGTGAAACAATGAATTAGTAATTTAATTGTAATTTTTTTTTTTGTTTTAGTTTCAGGAAAAAATTTCACAATCAAGTTTATCACCAGTCGGCGAATTATTGTTAACGTCAAACAGCATACGTACTTTACAAGATCTTCACAAATTTTTCACCGCACTTAGTAATAGATCCGGAGATACTCGAGGTCCATTGAATGTCGCACAATTGGAGACTGTCATTGAACAAGACTTCCTAGAGAAAATGCCGATAATACCAGCAAGATAATAGGAAATGTTTCTCGTAAATAAAGGTTTAGCTTTTGTATAATAATAATAATAATAATAATATTAATATTAATAATAATTATAATAATAATAATAATGAATTGTAGATATAATAAATTAAAAAAAAACACACACAGAGAGAATAAGATATTTGCTAATATTGATTTAATTATTTAATTTGCAAATATCGTATAATATATTCTCTTGTGTAAAAAAATAACATTTTATTATTTAAAAAAAAATATGTATGAAAAACAAAATCGATTTTTTTATAGAACTATATAGAAATTCGATTTTTTTGCGAAAATTTTTATCACATTTTTTTTTTAAATACATTTTTAAGAGAAAAAGAATCACATCGAAAATAAAGAAAAATGTTCATTAAAAACATTTTCAAGAAAAAAAAAACATCTTTAATTAACAATTAACAAATTTTTAATAATTTTATTCAATTAATAATTAATTATTAATCAATTAATTAATTATTTAATATTTATATAAATTAATTATTAATCAATTAATTAATTATTTAATATTTATATAAATTAATTATTAATTTAATTAATTAGGTAATTAATTATTTATTATTCATTTTTATTATTTTAAAAAGAAAAATTTTTTTCCGATGTGATTCTATTGTTTAAAGTTTTAAAAATAATTATTTATACATAAGAAATGCATTATTTCTCGAATTGTTTTCTCATTTGGTTGTGAATTAATACTTAATTCCAGATTGAATTATTGTATTGAAATCAATAATCTGGGATGAAAGTAAGTTTTTGATTTTTTTTTTTTTTTTTAATCAACACACTTTTCATTTTCTTCCTTTCAAGATATTCAATTTAAAGAAAAAGATTTATATTTTTTATTTTAAACTTGATAGGAGGATGTATAAAAAAAAAAAAAAAAAAAAATATTGTGTTCGATAAAAAAAAAAAAAAAAAAAAAATTCTCATTATTTTCACGAACTATTTTTGTACTTTCAGCAAGTGCAACTTTCACGATAGACCTTGAAACTATAATACATATAAACATATAATATATTATATTTATAAAATTGCATTTAATTCGGTTTTGAAATGAAGGAAAGAAAAAAAGAAAAAACACACAAATAAAAATTATCTGTAAAATTTCAAATGTCATTTTTAAGACAAAAAAAAAACAGAATTGTGCGTTAATAAGTATCAGTCGTGATTCGATCTGTGATAACAGGAAAATGTAATATCTAGAAAATTATTACCAATTGTGTATGCGTATGTATGTATGTTTGTGTGTGTGTGTGAAGAGAACAAATTTTCGAATTTGCAAATATCAATTCTAGTCCCGATTCTTTTCTTTTTTGTAATTTTTTCTTACAGAATATATATATATGATTGAAAAATTTAAAAGTATGAAAATAATTTTTAGTATTGAAGATTTTTTTTTTTATTTTTGACTGACATTTTCTATGTATTTAAAAATTGTATTAATTCATTTTTTTAGCCTTCTTTTTGTACTTCTGTTTTGTTATTTTTAATGAAGAAAAAAAATGAGGCTCGAATCACGATTTTTTCTAATGGAAAAAAAACAATGATTATTATTCTTGTATATAAATAACTTTCTGTATATTTACAGATAGTTTATAATTACAACATGTGATCGACTGCGTATAGTGTAAACGAACAAAATTACAGAAAAATAATATGTACCTGGGACTTTTTATTTACGTTGAAAAAAAAAACAAAAAAACCACGAATGTTAAAAACGTGAATTATTTCAGTTCGCGTGCAATCGTTATTATAAAAAAAAAATTATTAATTCGTTGAAGTTAAGTTTACGTACGTTATCAACATTGTACACAGTGTGACGTTTATTCTAATATATTAAAATATTATTTAGTTAAATTATTCTTTTCTGTGTCTTTAATAAAAAAAATTTATCCTTAACACAATTTCCCCTTTTTTCAAAAGTTTACAATTCAACAATTTTTAATTGATATAGGTTGTCTAATAATTATTTTTGTATTTTTGAATTTTCAAAAAAAGGAAAGCGTACATTTTTTTCTAAAAAAAAAAAAGTTCAAGGACATTTTATCGTCCAATTAAAGCGATTGTTGTAAAATTATAATTTCTAAGTTAACAATTTTTTTTTTGAACAATTGCAATTGTTTTTTATAATTTTTTGGAAAATTTAAATATTTCTATTTTTTTACAATTACTTTTGAGACTTTTGAGACATTAAAAGAGCATAATATAATTTTTTTATTGACATTAAGAACATAATATTTTAATCAGAAATTGTTTTAAAAAAATTAGAAATTTTTATTTTACAATAAAATAGAGTCAATATTTATTTGTAGATATTAAATAATTTATTATTATTATTATGTATTATTTAGCCTTAGAAAAAAAAAATTCACATTTTATCAAAATTTTGTAAATCAAAAAGACAAAATATTGAATATTTTATTGCTTTTCGATTAACTCAGCTATTAGAAAATAAAAATTTTTTTTTATAATATAAATTATAATTAATAAATTTTAATCAAAACTGTTATGACTGATTCAGAAATTCATCTATTAAAATATGTCAGCAATCACATTCAGATGATATTCAGTGGATTGACAAAATTATAAAATTTTTTATCTATAAAAAAAATGTTTTTTTTTTTAATAATATTTTGTAGATCAATAAATGATTGCAAAAAATATCCTTGAGATGAGAAATATAATAAAATAATTATTAAATCGAATAAATTCAACTGAAAAAAAGAAAATGAAACAAATTATAAAAATTTTTTATTTTTATTCAAAGTAAATTGTGTAAATTCAACACAAATATAATGGGAAATTTATAATTATTTTATGAAAAAAAAAAAGAAAATCAGTTGATAATCACAAATTTGGACTAAAAAAATTAAATAGACTAATCGATTTCATAATGGATAATATAATTTATAAATTGTCAATTTTTCTTTTTAAAATTCAATATTACTCTTAATACTAGATTGCAAATAAATCATTTTTTTTTTTTAGAAATTCCAAAGACACTCTTCCAAATTAAGTAACAAATTTTACTTCTAATGTAGAAGTATTTTTTTCCTATGGTCATCAAACAATTTTCAAAATCAACAAAGGATCAAAATTTTTTTAAAAATAATGAATTTTAAAAATTTTACCTTAATAATATATGTTTATTATGTAAATTCAGTACTTTTTTTAAAAAAAGTTTCATGATTTTTTTTTTTTCTTTACATTTCTTCGCTGAAATATTGAAAAGACAATAATAGAAAAAAAATCGAAATTTTTCTATTGCACACAAAAAAAAAAAAAGAAAAAAAACTACTATCACGAATTACGTAATCGACTACGTCGTAAATTTCTCTTTTGACTTTGATCAGTCAACATTTTTTTTTCACATTTATTATATATTTTTTTGCTCGTCGCCGTAACAGTCTCTTTTTTCTCTTGATTATGAATTTTCATATGCTGCTGTAATTTGTATTTTGTAAAAAATTCAAGTTCACAAATACGACAATGATAAGTTTTTGTGTTTTCATGAAAATTCAAATGACTATTGTAACAACGTCGCAATCGAAATTGTTTTAGGCATATTTTACATGTGAATTTTGCCCGTCGCTTTTTATGTTTTTCACGTGAATGTTTATTGACATTAAAATTCTCCGAATATGAAACAACAACATCATCACGTTGATTACACGTATCGTTAAATTCACTTTTGTTCATTATTTTTGTTATCTCTAAACTTTCCTTATCATTTATTGTTGTTTCCTCACAATTATCTACTTTTCCTCTTTCTTTTTCTTTTTCCTCTTTTTTGTCGTCTTCTTTTTTTTCTTCTTTTTCCTTTTCTTTCGCGTGTTCCTCATTTTCGGAAATAACATTTTGATTATCGATAAATTGAAAATTACTCATTTTCAATTCTTCATAGGCTAATTTGGAATTTCTTAATGCATTCATCATGTCTCTTGTGACATTATGCCTGACACGTAAATGCCTCGATAATGTGACGGATTGGGCAAAAAATGCATCACAATATGTACATTTGTGAAAAAATATATCTGGATTTAATTTCGAGCCATTTAATTTAATTTCAATGTCAAAATTGCCATCGGTTTTTTTAATCGAATGAAAAATTGGCTCACAACTTGAATATTTGGGTATTGATCCACCTAAAATATAAGGTTTTCCCGTTATTTGTATTTCACAATCATGACAAGCGTACGCCTTTCCCTCGGCACGAGTTTGATCCTGTGAATAAAAAAACAAATGTTTTTATTATTGTCAGAATTTTTTTTAAAAAAATTTCTTTAACAATTTTTTTTAATTAAAAAGTAAATAATTTTTTTCTAATTGTACATACAGAGAAATTGTTTTTTATTTTATAATCTCAAATTCCAAAGAAAATATTGAAAATAAATCATACCTTAGATCGAACAACACCAGCACAAGATTTTTTACACAAATCACAAAAGTAAATACTTTGTCGAGTTATTGCCATAACGTGAAGTTGATATTTTTCTGCCGTATTGAGATCCTGGAAACAAAAACATGATTATAAATTAAAATTCACATAGTAAAATTTTATAGCAGTTTATATTATATATATAGTAAAAAAATATAGCATTTTTTTTAATCCTTTTTTTTAAGGTGCAAAAAAAAGTCGTTTTAGTCGATTTATATTCCAAAAAAGGCGACAAAATCGATTTTTTTATTTCAATTAAATTTAATTAATTATATAATAATTAATTATTATATTAAATCCATTTTATTAATTCCTTCAGGCCTCGAATTGACTTTAAGGTACAAAAAAAGTCGTTTTAGTCTATTTATATTCCAAAAAAAGTCGAAAAAATCAATTTTTTTATTTTAACAAAATTTAATTGGTTAATAAATATTTTACTTCAAATAATTAATGTTATTAAATATTAAATTCATTTTTTTTTAATTCTGTAATGAGAATAATTCTATAATAAATATTATCAAGAAAATTTATTTCGAATATTTCAGAATCGAACTAATTGTAAGAAAAAATTTCAAAATTATTTTTAAGTAGGACAAATTTATAAATTAAAATTCTTAAAGTTCCATTTTTATCATTTTTGCAAGTCTGATTTAAGCAATTTATTTGAATTGAAAATTTTGTCATTGTTTTTAATTTTGATGATCAAAAAAAAAAAAATTCCAGGCAAAACTTATTTAAGTTTTACAGATTTTTAAATAACATTTTTTTTTAAATAATAATTTTGAAAGTGTTAAAGTTGAAATTTTTAGAAATAATTGAATCTCAATTTGTTAATTTTCAGACAATAATTAAATTTTACAGAACTCAAAAATAATTTATCAAATAATTTTAGATAACATTTTTTTAAAAGTAATTAAATTTTTAAAGATTTACAATTTAGATTTTTGAAATTAATTGAACTTCAAAGTGATTTTTAATTCAATTTTTTTTAATGATTTCACTAAAAAAATTTATTAGAAATTGCAGAAAAAAAAACAATAATTTGAAAACTTTTTAAATGAAAAATAATTTCAGATAGTTGAATTTTCGAAGAATATTATAAAAATCATTAAAAATAATTGAATTTCAAAATTTCAGAGTTATAATTAAAATTATTAAATTTCAAAAAAATTTTAGACGGAAAATTTTAGAAGCTTTTAAATTGAAATTTTTGAAAATAATTGAATTTCAAAAGATTTTGTTAAATTTTTAGACAATAATTATTAAAAAAAAAAGAAATTTCTAGTAATTTCTGTTGATGAAGAATTTATTAGAAATCAAATAAAATAATTGAATTCCAAATGTTTTTAATTGAAAATTATATTATAAAGAATATTATAAAAATCATTAAAAAATAATTGAAATTTTTGCAAATAATTAAATTTCAAGTCATTTTAAATTAAATATTTTCGGCAATTTTATTTGCTAATTTTTTTTTGTAAATTATAAACAATTATTAAATTTCAAAAAAATTTTAATTGAAAAATAGTTTTAAAAATAATTGAATTTGTGAAGAATTTCATTAAAATTATTAAAAATAATTAATTTAGTGAAGAATTTTTGTTAAAATTTTTGTTAAATAATTAAAATAAAGAAGATCTGCATTGAATAATAAAAAAACGTATTTTGTTTAAAATATTTTTTTAAAAAATGTAAAAAAAAAGTCGAAAAAATCGCATCTTATTTAAATAAGTCAAAGAAAGTTGTATTTTCGAAAAAAAGTCAAAAAAAAGTCGCATAATTCAAGGCCTAAAAAATTTTAATTGATTAAAAATAATAAATTTTTCTAAATTAAAATTCTAACCTTATCGCAAACATTGCAGCCCATTCGATTAATGTCAATATGAACAATAAGATGTTCATGAAGCATTTTTTCAGTGGGAAAAATAATTTTACAATATGAACAACCTAAATGATTTGTATCAATATGATGTGAATTTGAATCATCATCATCATCATCATCATCATCATCATCATCATGATCATCATCGTTATCATCAGCAAAATAATTTTCCAAATAAAATGGTATTTGAACAATATTTGATGCATTTCCATCAGATTCAATGAAATCATCATCCTCCTGATGATTTTCATGAAAATATTTCTCCTCATTCTCGTTCAATTCATTTGATTCTGAATTAACACTTTCTCTTGAATTCTCATCGTGAAGAAAATCTTCCGAAGGTTCCAGTTTAATAATTATATTCTCGACATCTCCAGAAATAATGGGAGAACTATTTTCTTCATCCATTGTGAAAAAAAATTAATCATTTAAAAAAAATGATGTACCAAAAATCCGTTTTCTTGGATTTTTCAATAAATAAATATATATATATATATTTGTATATATATATATATATATACACACGCACAAAATATACAGGCACTGTTTATAGGTTATAATTTTTACACAAAGTTGATTCTTCTTTTTGAAATCACAAAAAAACACATTCACTTTTTAAAACTATTGTTCCGTACTACAAAAATTGTATAAAATACGGTTACATTTTTTTAAATATTACATTAGTCACATCTAATATATATATTATTTTTACTGTTATCTTTGTCAAAGAATTTGAGGCTAAATTATAAGATAGAATAAAATTTGTTTCTATCTTTTTTTACACGTGATGAGAAACAAATGAATTTACACATTTTTTCCTAACTATATTTTATCACTTTCACTAAAGTTTATTTATTATTAAAAAAAAAAAGTCCAAACAATTGTCACAGTGTTTTTAAATCTTAAAAAAAATTGTTGTTGTCATTTTGTCAATTGTCAGAAAACATCTCTCAACTCTGAAGTTGTCATTTATGTCATCCGGTAGAGTAGAATAAATATACTATTCACACGTCGGAAAAAAGTAATCGCGGGAAATTTAAATAATTCATTACCCTTTTTTTTAAATAAACTAATTATTAGAATTATTAAAACGTGAACAATATTTAAAAATCTATAACAAATTATTTTATTTACAAATGTAAATATTTTTAAATTTACAAATAAAATAAATCTTTTTTTTAATAATCCGTCACGCGCAACTGGTTTTGCGACCATTACTTCAATCTCATTGGTTACCTGTACGTAAATACAAAATCGTTTTCTTTGAATATAAAAAAAAAAATTGATAATTAATCGAAAAAAAAAAACAAAAAAATGTGTATTTTTCTCACAATTTCTTTTTTTCCATGTAGAATTTGATTATATAGTTGTAATTCTATTAGAAAATTTTTCTACAAGAAAAATAGTTTGGCGCTTTAGAAAATTATCCGTGAAACTAGACTAAAACACCTGCAACAACTGTCACAATTCACAATTCTTTGTATGTGTGAGATGCTGCGAGTTGACCTATACATAGAAAAGTGTGGTTATAGTGAGTTTCTTATACGAAAAATTCAATGTGTAAAATGAACTAAAAAAAAAAGTATAGAATTAAGATGAAAAAAAGTGATTTTTCAACGTAGTAACAACAATTAGACATTTCCAAGTCTGAATATTGTACAAGTAAGTTGTTTTCAAATTTCATCCACGTTTTCGGCAATTGAAAAAGCTTTTCTAACCAAACTTTTTTCCACCTTCAACAGAATGTCAATGATTATTCAATCATTGTTAATTTTCATTATTTTTCATTTGTTTTTTCATTTGACAAATAATTAACAATTATGATTAAAAAAAAATTTTTAAATTCTAATTTCTCAAAATTACATCTATTTAACATATAATGGCGTCATAATTGTCGAGGACGCCATTTTTTTGGGAGAAAAAAAGTTCTCGTAAACGTTTTCTTTTGTTTTAAGTAATTTCAGGATATTTTTTATTTTTTCCATATTACATATTTAAAAGGATAATTAACAGTAATTTAATTTTTCAGTGCAATATTTTGTACACTTGATTCAATGACTATACTTATTTCTTGATGTAGGGTATTTTTTTTTTTTTCATCGACTTGTACAATTTTTGACAAAATTCACAAATTTGTCATAAAATATAGATTTTTGTCATATAAATAAAAATTAGTTTGACTTTTAAGGTAAATATTGAAATTTTTTTTATAGAATTTTCACAAAAAAGATTTCTTTGTATTAAAAAAATTATTAAGCACAAAGAAATAAAAATTGTTTACGTTTTTTTTCTCCATATTTTTGTTGTTTTTTTTTGTGCTTATTTTTTAAATATTGCATAATTGTTGTTTATCATAATATTATTTTTGCAAAAAAATTTTTTTTGATAATTTGTCACTAGAAAAAGTAAAATTGTGTTTTAATATTGTAAATGAAGGTTTTTGATTTTTGTTTTAGAAACTTAATTTATTTGGAAAAAATTTATTTTCTTTTTAAAAATTCAACACGTGTTTTATTATTATTATTATTATGCTTTTTTTATTATAATTTTGAAAAATCGATGATTATTGTAAATTAGTTATTAAATTTTTTAATTTAAAAAAAAGTATTTCAATGCAAAGTAAGAAAATATAGGAGAATATTTCTTTGTTTGAAGTGATATTATTTTTATGTACATTTAATATAACAAATATTCATTTGAAAAATTTAATTTATGTTAGATAATTATTCGAATTTAATTATTTTTATTTATACATTTTTATTTTTTAAATTTTAGTTTAATTTTTTTTTCGATAAATTATTAATATTTGAAATTTACGAAAGTAAATAGAATGCAATGAAATATTATACCCGCGACTTCTTGCATCAGTAAAGTAATTTTTTTTTTTTTTTTTTTTTTAATTACCAAGCATTATTATTTTTACGAATTGTCATTATTTTTTAGAATTTTGACTTTAGAGAGAAATATTGCTCAACCTTGTAATAATTGACGTAATATAAATGAAAAGGACTACGCCCACAGACAATGGAAATACGAGCTTATTAAAAAAATTTTCAATAATAATAATTAAAAAAAAAAATAAATAAATAAAACCCTTTTCCAAAAAATTCATAGGCTGCCTTTTTTTAAATTTATTTTTTCTTTTTTTGCGAGTGAAAAATTTATTAATTATTATTGAAACATTTTTTTTATTGTAGTATAGATGTATATATTTTTTTTCATTTAATGTGCCTGAAATTCTAAACGTTCAATTGAACGAAATTATTTTTTTTTGGTCTATTTTTTTTTCAAAATTACAACAGAAATGAAAAATAAAAAAATTACATTGAATTTAATAAATTATTAATTTATTTATTAGTAAAAAATTTATTTAGTATTTATTTTTTTACTAGTGAAAAAAATTTGAAATTAAACAAGTAATAAACAAATTTTTTGTTCAGTTGAACAATCGGAACTTGAGGCACATGATTTGTAAATAGTAGTAGATTTTTATTTCGTTTCAATTTTTTTTGTTATTAATTGCATTGTTATTTATTATTTTCTTTAATTATCTATTTACTGTTTAATTAGTATTATTTATAATCACGTGTGTGTATTTAATTGCTGATTTATTTTCAAAAAAAAAAAAAAATTATTTTCTTATAAAAATGACGAAATTTCAAAAAGTCAAATTGCAAAATTTATTTTTCAGTTCCAGATATTCGGAAATAAAGTTACAAAAGAAGAATTACTTTATAAAAAATAACGGCAAAATTATTAAGGATAAGAGTAATAATAATAAGAACAAAAAAAAATATATATATACATACATCTCTATATATATATATAATTAAATAAAAATGTCAGATTTCGAGAATAATTCCATCGATCCACCGATGACTCGCTCTAAAACGCCATTACCTGGAAATTTTTGGCAAAATGTAAGTGATCCTTCAGATGTAATAAGTAGAAATGCACCTCTAATTAACCGTCCAGCTCCTGCTTCGATGAAACGAAAAATGGAACAAGCTGCGCACGTTAAAGATTTACTCAAATTATGTAAACCATTGTCAATTAATTTAGAATGTTTATCTCAGCAGGTGATAAAAAAAATGACAAAAAAACGTGATCATCATCAACAATCTCGTCGTAGTAAAAAACTAGATAGAAATAGATGGCAAAGAGGTTTTATTGATAAAAGAAGAAAACCAAAAATCGATATAAATAATGATAAATCATTGGATGTTAATAAAAATCAAAATTCAATGGAAATGAAACCAACACATATTTGGGGATGTTGTCGAATGATACCATTTGATAGAAATCGATTAAAAAATCAAAAAAGATTTTCACATACAAATAATAAAGAATTGAATCTCGAAATTACAAAACAAGAAAATAATATTGAATCTCCAATACCGTCAACATCAAAATTATCAATCGACAAAGAATTAGAATTGGAAAAGAAAATTGACACTACACAATCAAGTTCAGATGATGATGATGATAATGATGATAATAATGATAATGATAATGAGGAAGAAAATTGTGTTTGTAGACGAGTAATTCCGTATATTCGAAAATCTTGCTATAAAACAATGTTAAATTTACAAAATGACAATAGCACACAAGCTGGTGGTAGTAAGAATACCGATAATTCAACAACAACAACAACAACTACAAAAATTGGTCCAAAAATTTCAAAAACAAAAGATTTTCACAAAAAAAAGAAATTAATTCACGAGGAATTAAATGATAATGATAATAAAAAGACTGATAATATTGAAACAATGAATGATTCAAAAAAAAGTGACGACAGTATGGAGGAAAGTTTCACTGAATTTTATCGAAATAAATGGAAATTAAAGAGAAAACATCGTACTCGACGTATTTCCAGTAGTGATTCAAGTTCAAATGAAAATAACAAAAATGAAAATAACGAAGAGAAAACAAGAAAAAGAAGACGTATTTCAAGTAGTGATTCAAATTCCGACAATGAAAAGCAACAAAAGAAGAAAAAAATTGAATTAAATGATTTTGCAAATTATTCACGTGGAAAAACGAAATTAATTCGTAAACTTAATCATTTGGATTCAAATCAATCATCAATTTTAAATTATCTCTATAGAAAGCCAAAACCATTGAAGGAAGCGCGAATTATTTTGACACGATTAGAAAATATGATGAACGATCCATTTGTCATTAGATGGAAGAATCGAGGAATTAAAATTGAAAAAATTGAAGAAGAACAAGAAGAACAACAAGAACAAGAAGAAGTAGAAACTGGTCAAGTGGAGGAAAATTACGAAAATCAGAGATATTATCTTCTACACGAGGATGGAACAATGACAAGTGAAGCAATACCCCAAGAAGCATTATATCAATACGAAAATTTTATCGATAATCCACAAGATTTCATTGGAATTAATTCATTTAATGGTCAAGTTATTGATGTCTCCAAATTTTTTAACACACTACCACAACAAGAAATAGTTAATGAAATTTATAATCCACTAAATAATAATGAAGCCACAATTGAAAATATCAATCCTCAACAACAATTAGCCTATAATATTGAAAATTATCCAAAAGTATTGTTAATACGTCTTGAAACATTAGTTGGGGCACTTGATTCTGAATATTCAGCATCGGAAATTGAAATTCTCGAAGAGAAATATATTGATTTTCTTTTAAATTCCAATTTTTCGTATGACAAACAATCGCAATCATTTTTCAACGTTTATAAACGTCTTCAAGCAAAACGTCTCAAGGAAAAAGAAACTGCAATTCTCAATTCATTCAACGATTTTGATGACAATGATGACGATGATGATGATGATAATAGAAATGCTTTGGTAGGGAATCAAGAAAATAACGAAATTACCAATAATAATGATGACAATAGATCAGAAACAAATGACAATGACGAAAATCCATTGGTTATTGCTTTTGATAATGATAAAGAAGTCGATACAATTGTTGATGATTGGGCATCAGACGATAGTGTCACTAGTATTGGAGAAAAATTAGAAGAACCATCAAAATATTTTCAATTCGATTCAACAAAAGAAAATTCTTCTATTGAATTTGTCACATGTGATTCACATCAAGAGAATGATTCAACAAAAGAGCCTTATTATATTTCATGTAAATTTTGTAAAAATAGTTTTCGCAGTCTACATTCATTTTCTCTACATAAAGGCAATTGTCATGCAAAAAATAAAAAACCAATAAAATGTGATTATTGCAATAGTCAATATAAATGTAAACGTAATTTAAATTTACACATTCAACTTGTACATGGATTAATTGAATCGAATGATAAAAATATAAAAACAAAAAATACAAATAAAACAAAATCATTAACAATATCAAAATCATCATTAAATACAAAAACAAGTCCAAAAAATATAAATACAAAAATAATAACAAAAAAAAGATTACCATCGGCACGTAATAATTTACGTTGTGGCGTTTGTTCAGTTACATTTGAAACAAGAGAAAGTTTATTTGATCATATTTATCAGCATACAGAACGTGAATTACAAGATGCATTTAATGATGCGACAATAAGAAAAAAAAATGAAGAAATAATACGTAATGAAAATGAAAAACAAGCAACTGAATGGGCAAATAAATATGCACAATGGAAGGATAGTATTTTATGTAAAAATAATGTCAGTGAAGAATCATCAACATCAGGTGGACAAAATACAATAAATTCATGTGAAGAAATAACTGTATGCTCATCGGGTAGCGATGATATAAGTAGAAAAAATAATGATGACGATAATAATATTGAAAAAGAAAATTCACGAACAACATCAGTTATTAAAAGTACAAAATTAATTGAAAATGAAACAACAAATGTTGTTAAAAAAGTAACAATGTGTCCATGTCACAGTAATGATACATCAACATTGGTAAATGATGATATGCAAATTGAAATGGTATTACTTTGTGAAATTTGTCAAGTATTATTTCGACGTTTGGATTGTTTTGAGGTGCATTATAGAGTTAATAGATTATGTAATAAAGACAGATCGAGCCGATTGCCAAAATTATTTTGCAGTTCATGTAAAATTTTATTAAATTCATTGCCTGAAATGCGTCGTCATTTAGAGAAACATGCTCAAATTAATCGTCAGGGACATGTTACATTTTTGTGTAATATTTGTAAAGTTATGTTCTTTGGAATTGGTTCATTATTCTACAGTCATTGGTTTAATCATACGAAGGATGTGAATTTTCTCGCAAGCCGTTATTCATTTCCAAAATTATCAATTGTGCCTTGTATGAAATTAACGGACAAAGTGGGAAATCAAAATAAGGAGGAATATTTATTTGTTGCTGAACATGTTTGTCGAAATTGCAAGTGAGTAATGCAGATTATTTTTTTCAATTATACATTTTATAATTTATTTATTTCTTTATTTAAAGCAGCAAACATAAACGGTTTCAAATAAATTCTAATAATCAAAGAGTTATTCACATAATTTGTTCTATGAAATTTTATATTAAATAGTTAGCGTTGGCCACACAAGTGAGGGAAATCAGAGAAATCATGGAAAAGTCAAGGAAAGTGAGATTGGTCAGAAAAATTAGGGAATTTTATGAAAAGTACTGGAAAAATATTAAATTTCAAAAAAAATGCTATTAAAATTATAATTTTTGGAAATTTACAATTCAAATTTTTACATTAAAAGAAAAGAGTCTACAAAAGTCAATTTTTTTATTTTCAATAATTTTAATTTGTTGATAAATATTTTATTATTATTAATAATTTGTTAATAAAAATTAAATAAAATTTATTAATTCCTTAATAAGAATTTTTCACAGAAATATTTTCAAGAATTAAACTGAGACAAATTTTCAAGATTTCGGAAAAAAGAATTAAATTTTCAAAGAATTTCATTAAAATATTATTCAAAAAAAAATTAATTTTAAATTGAATTTTGTGAAATAATTGAATTTTAGAAAAGTTTTAACTAAAAATTTTAAAATAATTAAATTTGAAAGAGTTTGACTTAAAATTTTTAAAAGTAATTTAATTTCAGGAGATTTTTAATTGAAACTTTTAATTAATTAAATTTTTTTTTACAAATTTTAGACAATAATTGAATTTTAAAGAATTTTCAACTGCAATATGTTCTAAATAATTTAATTTTAATGGAGTTACAGTTAAAATTTTTAAAAATAATTGCATTTCTTGAGAATTTAAAAATTATAATTTTGTTGTAAATATAAAACATTAATTAAAAAACGATTAAAATAATTGAATTTTTGAAAAATTAGATTAAACCTGTTGAAATAATTAATTAAACAAAGAATTTTGTAGATAAAAATTTTCAATTGAATTAACATTCAATTAATGTTTCAATTACTAATTGAATTTGGAAGAGTTCGAGTAAAACATTTTTTTGGAATTAAATTTTAGAAGATATGAAATTGAAAGTTTTTTTAAAATTTTAATTGATAAAATTTTGTTTACAAACTTCAAAGATTAATAGAATTTTAGAGTATTTTTCATTGAAAAAAGTTTTACTTTCCTTAATTGTTAAAAAACTGTATAAAAATAATTTAAAAAATTAATTTAGCGAATAATTTAAAATAAATTTTTTAGAAATAATTGAATTATAGAGAATTTTCTAATTGAACATTTTTTAAAAAAATTGACTTTTCGATTTTTGACATTTGAAATTTTCAATTAAAATTTTAATAAATAAAAATTTAATTATTAATTAAAAAATGTTTTATATATAATTGAATTTTTGAAAAATGATTAAAGTTATTAGAAATAATTAATACAAAAAGAAATTGAAATTGAAAATTTTAGAAATAATTGAGTTTTGGAAAAGCAATTGTTAAAATTTTTGTAATTAAATTTCAGGAGATTTTTAAAATTAAAATTTTCATAAATTGGAATTTCTGTAGATATTTTATAAGCTTTAAACAATAATTAAACTTTGGAGGATTTTGAATTGTAAAATGTTTTAATTAATTTAATTTTTGAAAATCTTGATTAAAATTATTAAAATTAAATTATTCAACAAAGAATTTTAGATACAAAATTTAAAAATAATTGTAGTTTAGAAGAATTCGAATTAAAATTTTCAAAAATTATAATTGAATTTCAGAAGATTATTAATTGAAACTTTCATTTTGAATTGGTGAAAATTTTTTTAAAAACTTTAGACAATAATTGAATTTTAGTGAATTTTCAATTGAAATACTGTTTTAAATCATGTAATTTTCGAAGAATTTGTTTTAATAAATTATTGAAAATAATTGATTTTGCAAACGATTCAAGTTAATATATTTTTTTAATAATTCAATTTTAAAAAATTAAAAAAAAAAAATCGAAAAAGTTGTGCAATCCGATGCCTGTTATTGAAAACCTTTTGAAATATTTTCATTAGGGTTAGGGAAAAGATTTTAATTTTGACTGGAAATTAGAGAAAAGTCAGGGAAAAATAAAATAATATTTTTGTGTCAACCCTGATAGTGAAAGATATATCTAATTGGTACAGAGAAATTAATCATTGATAGAAGAAGTGTAGGGAAATTTATAAAACCAATTAACAATTTCAACATAAAAATAAAATCTGCATACAAAAATCTAGTTACAATTTTAGGCATATTTAAACGGCTTGCGTAAAGCATCGTAATTGTGTTCATAAAAATTAAAATTTACACAGAATTTTTTAATTTAACCTTAGTATAAAATAGAATTTATTTTACAAAATTAAGAATATTAGAACTTTTTTTTATCTCGGGAATAAACAATAATTAGTTAAACATTTGTCTATTAGAAAATAATTTAAGTTATTTTAATTAAAATTGAAAATTTTTCTAATTTTCAGAATACCCTTCGGGTCAGAAATGGATTTAGATAATCATAAATGTTCTGCAGTTGAGCAAATTGTGCCAATTCAACCAACAAAAGTAAGGGTTCTTTGTTTAGTATGCAACAAAATGTTCGCCAATAAAACTGAATATTTCATGCACGAATTAAATTTAAATCACATGAGAAGCACCAAACCGGAATATGTGACAATATCAACAAATTGCGGAACAAAAGCTTACATATGTGCTCAATGTAAAACTGTTCGTAAAACAACGGACGAAATGAAAGAACATTGGGTATTTCATCGTGCTTGGAGGGAAAAATTCATTTGTTCCTATTGTCCAAAATTTTTTGACACAAACATTAATATTGTCGAAGCACATTGTAAAAATTGTACAAAAGACATGAATCCATATTGTAAAGTTTCCTTTGAATTAGCAACATTTAAATGTCAACCGTGCAATCTTTATTTTGAAACATCACAATCAGCAAAGGAACATAATTTAATTTGTTTACGTTCACAATTTTCAACAAATAGTGAATCTTCCAATAAACAAGTTGCCTCATCAATTAATTTATCTCTTTCCGAAAATACAACAACAACATCAAAAACATCACCACCAATTCTCAGATTAACTGTTCCTTCCTCGGCCTTATCGTCAATTGCAACGAAAACAAAATCTGTAAATAATTCTGAATCCACAATTGTCACTGAATCTCCAACTCCAATTTTAATTGATGGTCTAGCTTCAAAATTAACAGACGTACCATCAAGTTCAAAATCGAATACCAATGTAGAATCTTATTCTTTTGAATCATCACCATCGGGGAAGGTTATAAATTTCACCTCCAAAGTCAAAAGCAAAAATGGCATCAATTCCGATGTCGAAGTTATTGATATTCTTTCCGAAAGCAGTTCAAAAAGTTCAAACTCCGATTTTTCTAAACCATCATCAGAATCAGTTGCTTTGCCTAAGGATATGCCTTTATTGAGTGCTACCAATACTGCTACTATTCAAGAAACGGATAAAAATAAATCAATTACTAATGTCGAAAAGAAGAAGAAGAAGAAAAAAGATAAGAATTCCAATGAGGGCAAAGAAAAAGAGGTGCAAGCACCTCCGAAAGTTAGTGTCAAAAAGAATTTAACAATGACTGCCTTAAATCCTGAATTCGAATCATTGCTCACCGAACTCGAAGGTATGGAAAAAATTCCAGGAAAGGTCTATTCAAGACGTTCAAAGAAATCCCCAAAAAAAGTCTCCAAAGAAACAAAACCAAAATCTTCAAAGAAAATTTTGAAAGATCCTTTGGAAACAAATGAAGAATTCCCCTTGTCAGACGCTGGAAGTGAATCCTCAAAATCGGGAAAAGCATCCACAAAATCGGATGATTTAGCCACAAAATCAGGAACCAATACAACTGATAGTACACTTCCATTTGAAGTTGTTCTTCTACCACACGATGAAAAATCCAAAGATTGTGCAAAAACCAGTAGTGCTGTTGGAAATTCATCGTCCTCATCATCATCATCATCATCTTCGTCAACATCATCAAAGGTCGACATCAATTCAAATAAATCCATTAATACTGCAACGAAAGAATCCACTAGTGTAACAATTCCCGATCCTAAGGATAGTTCATCTGATCCAAATACAGCGAGTATAATCGAAGAATACATCGAGTACATCATGATGGACGACGTAAGTGACAATACAACAGCAGCTAAAGAAACTGCAGAATCAACAAATTCAGCACCACCCAAAGAAATATCTCCCCCCGTGGAGAAAGTTGCTCCCACACGTCTACGAGTTCGAAGTCTTGCAGAATTACAAGAAATTAAAATGCATCATCTCTGCGAAGCATGCGGAAAGACATTTAACGCCGAGAATGAATACATCACACACGTGAAGCAAGCAAATTGCACACCACAACCAAAACAAACAATACTAACGCCCGCAAATTATGAGACATCATTCATTCAAAATCCAGTTGGAAAATCATTAAATACTTTTATTCCTCCACTTTTGCCATTATCAAAAAATATTTCAATTCCCCGAACATCAGTTCCACCAAATGCAATAGTCTCCCATCAAAAACGACACTCGGGATTAAATTTTGGTCCTCAAACTACAGAAATAAATCAAGGCACTTCAAATATGGCTTTTAATACAAATATACAGCATCGTTCAAGTGCTATTCAATTGCCAGAACGAACTGGTGGTAATACACCACAAAAACGACCATCAGGCGCTGCGACAAGAATTCAAAATCTCTCACATCCACAGCGACATCAAACAATAACAACAACACGAACAATAACACCACCGTCAATGATTCAACATCAGGGTTTACCACACACATATATGCATCGTGCACCTATTAGAATGAATCAACCAATTCGTCCACCACCACCACTACCACCACAATCGCAATATCGACCACCACCCGATGCTTCCACAAGTCTAACATGCACCACTTGTTACTATACTGCAAAAAATCTTCCCGAATTCTCCGCTCATCTATTGGTGCACTATATGGACACATCGGCAAATGATAAAATTCATGATAATCAGCGAAATAATCCCCGTCAGGAGAGCCAACAGACTGATCCAAATACATCGGCTTATCAAAATTCACAAATAATTGCCAGCGATATTTATGGTTCATCATCGGTAACTGGAAATTCAACTAATACAGCTAAAAGAAATTGGCAACCGTCTACCTCGAAATATCTTTATGTTTGTCGAATATGTAATTTTCAAACTGACAACAAATCAATTATACGCGAACATGAGAAACGTCATTTGGAAGTTGAAAATAATCTTCAAAAGCAACAATTAATACAAGGTCCTTATCAAACACCTCAACATCAACAGCAGCAGCAGCAGCAACAATCACAAAATTTGGTTCATCAGGGCCCAACAACAATCAGCAATAAGACCAAAGATTCTGAGAAAGGTCCAATTATACTTTATTCAAGTGTAAGTAATGATGTTTATCAATGTCTTCTGTGTAACAGTTTCTTCTTTTCCTCGCATGATGAATTTGTGAGACATTTACAAACTGTACACAAACAATCACACAAGGAAAATGTTCATCAGCTTCCAATTGAAAATATATGTTATGTTTGTGATTATTGTGATCCCCCACAAGTTTTTAACGCTGAATGTAGTTTACGTAAACATATGGAATTTTTACATAATCATATTTGTCATATGTGTGGACAACGTTGCACATCAAGAGAAATATTACAGAATCATGTAATGAGTCATAAGCTCGATGCTCAGGCTCAATAGAACATGAATATGAAATTTGGACATTTTTTCAAAAAGTAGAATTATCCAATGTATAATATAGAATAGAACGTGAATGTAATGAGTTAGAAAAGAACAGAGGATATTTTTGTCCTTTTCTATTACACGCTTTTCGGTTTGTATAGAGATATCTAACGTGTCGGTAAAGTCACAGAAAGTAGAGCGATTACCACAGTGGCACCAAATTTCTATTGGCTTGTATGGGAGATTTCAGAAATTAATTATTTTCTCTAAAATTAGAAAATAATTCACGATAATTTTTATTTCAAATCAAGTAGTAATTTATGCTTATAATTATATGTCTTAAAGATTAAAAAATAAAAAATCAGTTCTAGCAGACGAAATTCTCTTTTGCTAGAACTGATTTTTTATTATTCTTTAATATTTGAGTCGTTGATGACATAATTACACACAAATAAGTATTGCATAAATTACTACTTGATTTGAAATAAAAATTGTTATTATGAATTATTTTTTAATTTCAGAGAAAATAATTAATTTCTAAAATCTCCTCTTATAAGCCAATGAAAACCCGGGGCGTGGTAATCGTTTTACTTTTTGTGACTTTACCGACGGAGGTGACATATCACGTTAAGGTACGGTCACATGACTTTTGAAAAAATCATTCTTGTCTTTCTCTCTCCTATGACAGAGGCATAAGTTTGTTTCATCCTACATTTTCTTTTACCAAAAACGGAAAATGCAAAGTGAGACAAACTTATGCCTCTGTCATAGGAGAGAGAAAGACAAAAATGGTTTTTCCAAAAGTCCTGTGACCGTACCCATCTCTATTCTATTTTGACCTGTAAACAGGGACTATAAAAGCTAGTTTACATCACCTGGCGTAATGTAGAAAAAGCTTTACTAAGTTATTTAGGCTGCCTCCACAATAGCTAAATCACATCGGCGATTTTTTCAGACGAGCCGATGCGCGCGCATCTATTGCGCAACTGGCAACAAATTTATTTCACTTTTACTAAAAATTAAAAACATTTTTACCTAGAAGGATATAAAATTTCGTTTTTTTTCAATAAAACAATTTTTTTTTATAATTTCAATAATAATGAAATTGTAATATTGAAACAAGTGAAATAAATTTTTTTGTCGACAGTTGGCAAAGGATGCGCGCGCATAGTTTCGTTGTAAAAAAAATTCATCTTCAATGGTATTTAAACAATTGTGGAAGCAGCCTTAAATTCGAGTCTGCGCAGAACATTCGTAAACAGTATCGTTATTTTTTAATCTTATTTCTATTTTACATCAGGCGATGTAAACGTACTCATTGAAAATAATTGAAAAATTCTAAATTTTCCTTTAAAATAATTATTTTTAGTATAGAAAAAAAAGTATTTAAATGGTTTCAATCTTTCGTTACCCGCTTGAAATTTAGTAATAATTTTGAATTTGGCAGTACAAAAATTATCCTATAAGAATTTCTAGGTAGAATTTCTATTTAATGTTTCAATACCATGACATAACCTCAAACTAAAAATACTTTTTGTTTTAGAAAGAAAATAATAATAATTATAAGGATGGAGACCCTAACATAACCTCAAAACTAAAAAATGGTTTTTAAGGCCAACGCACAATAGCTTCGCGAAAGTCGTTCGCGAACGAGATGCATGAGATAGAAAAGGATACATATATACCTCTGTCCTTCTCTAACTCATGTTTCACGTTCGCGAACGTCTTTTGCGAAGCTATTCTGCTTAGGCCTTTAACAAAACTTTAAGCAAAAATTAATTTCCAATAATTTTAGAAGATTTAATTATACACTTTTTGGAAAAAAATTATGATGAGTTAAAATCTGCTAAATGATTATTTTTTAAAAATATTTTTAACTTTTTTTTTATAAGCAATACAAATTTTATGTATTAAATAATTTTTTTTTACAATATACTTTAAATAATTGAAAAAAGTTTACAATTGTAAAAAATGTTTCACTGAGTAAAATAAGCTATTGTTTATAAAAATAGGATAAAAATTGCAATTTTTGTCTGTTCTAAAAGAAAAAAGTCAAAATGTTAAAAAAAAAAAAAAAATTATTTAACAAAAGATTTCAACTCAACATAATTTTTTCTAAAAAATGTTTAACATAGAGCAGTCTAGTCCAACTTTACATTTTCGTATTTTTAATTAAACCGTTTAATTAAATTATTTTATTATATAATTAATTTAAATTGGTACAGATAAAAAAAAATTAATGTTGAATTTGGATCAGATCTATCAAAATTAGTAACCACAGCTAAATTTATTTGCTATGACAACGAAAAAGTTTGCTATGATAAACAATATCAGTTTTAATTTTTCAAAATTTACTGTCACAGCAAACTTTTTTGACCCCACAGCAATTCGCTGTCCCTATATTAGCTAACATAATTTGATGTGACAGCAAATAATTCGCTTCCACAGCAAATTTTTTTTATGCGTCTTCCTGTTGATAAATCGTAATTTTTTTTTTTAAATTGTACATTTTGTAATGCTAATATATATATATATATATATTTTGTTATAAAAATTAAATTGTTTACACTTCCACTAAAACATTTTTAAAGTTAAAATTCTTTTTTATTTATTTAAAAATTGGAAAATAGAGTTGAACTAAATTTTGTTTCGATATTTTTTTTGCACTCTTCATATAATTAAAATAGTTTTTGAATTAGAGGAAAAATATTTGTTTGTTTAAGTTATTAATAAAATTTTAATAACTTAAACAAAAAATTGTTTTTCAGTGTTCAAAATATTATTTTATCCAATTCAGGTCCATTTAAAAGGCATATAAATTAATTACAGAAATAATTTTGGATTATTTAATTCAAATTATTATTTTCTTTTTTTGTATAAAAATGTATTTAGTTTGATGTAATGTCTGGCATTGAATCTCTTTAACCGAAATTTATAAAAAAGTAAAATTTATATTGAACCCAATTTAAAAAAAAAAAAAAAAAATTTTATCTAATTGAATTCTTATTTAATTTCTTATTCAGAATAAAATATAAGAAGAAGGAAATTCGATTTAAATTCAATAATTTAGGGAAATAGTAATTCTGTTAAATAAAAATTCTACGTTCTGAAAATTAGGTTTAATATTAATTTTACTTAATAAAATTAAATTCATTTTGTTTATTAATAAAATTTGATTAAAATACTTTCCAAAAATTCTTGTGCCATAACTGCCATTATATTAGTGATATTTTTTTTTTAAATCGAATTCATAATTTAAAGGAAAGATCAAATTGATTAAAAATCGGTGTTGTAGATATTTAAATGTTATAATTCAGTTCATTCAATTTTTATTTTTTTTTCGTGTATTAAATTATTAATAGGTAACAAATTTTATTATTAACTCAGAGTTTCACTTAGAAAAATATAATCTCACATTGAGAGGAAAATTTATTCTCTGATAGCTGTGCACATTATTCTCTTTCTCTCTGAAAAAAAAAATTAAAAAAAAATATATTCTCCTTTACAAAAAATATAGATTCTTATTTTGAAAGGCAGAATAACAAAAAAAAATGTAGTTTAAGTATTTTGCGGTTCGTTTAAAAGAAGAATTTTTCTAGTAGAGAAATTGTAAATTTTATTTATGATATTCATTTATGACGTTAGAAATTGAAACGTTAATTTTCTAAATATGATTTTTTTATTATATAATTTTTAGCAGAAAAAATATTTTATTAATTTTTTTTTTAATTAAAATTTGTTTCAATTTTTTTAAATTAATTTTTTTTATTCTGTTAAAACTCTAAATGAGACCAATTTACATCGTTTTGATCTTTCTTTTTATTTTAAAAAAATTAACGAAAAATCTCAGTAATTCTTCAAAGTGAATTTGGTTTTTTTTTTAATTGGAAAATAATTTTTTAAAAAATTTTTTATATTTAATTATAGAAAGATTGCTCTGTTTGTTTTAAAGAAATATGTAGAATTATAAAATTTAAAAAAAAATGAAATATAGTATTTAAATAAGTTTTTTTTTATCATTATTTTCTAGTTACAAGTGTCTTAAGTCAGTATTAAGTTCTCTAGAATCAAGAGTTTTTAATATTTTCTTTAAATCAAGTGCAGAAAGATTTTTGAAAAATCTAAAAATCAATTTCTATTTTTCATTTTGACAAAGGAAAATGTTGAATTCAATTTCTCGAGGACAATGTTTTATTGAGTGTTTTGCATTACAACGAAACCGATTCCAATTTTTTGTGAGACCAAAAATTAAGTTTTCTATATATAGGTACATATCTTTTTCCAATTTAACTTTTAATAATTAATTGTACACTAAATAAAAATCTATGAATAAATAATTTCGATTTATTTTGCAAAAAAAATGTATGAATAGAAAAAAAAAGAATTCTGAACTGTGTAAATTAATTATATAATTGTAATTTTATAAGCGAAAATCGATTTTAATTTTTAAATATTAATTCTCTGTTACCAGAATATAATTTTGAGTAGACGCATAGAATTAATATTTAATTATCACAAATTGATTGACAACGTTTATCTTGTGATCTCTTACATTCTGAAATATTTCTCGAAAATGTGTATATTATAAAAATTCTCACAAATTAAAATATTAATGCAATTTATAATTTGTACTGTAGATAAAAATATTGGAAAAAGTAATTTTTTTTTATATTTCTAAATATTATGTATTTTATTGCCAATCATTGACATGATTCAATGATCAAATGGGGGAGACAAAAATCAACTATGACATTGATTTTAAAAAATATTTTTTTTTTTTAAATTCAAACACCGAACCTGCTTTATAAATTTGTAAGGTAATTATTTTGTTATTCAAAAATGTTTTGTTTTTTTTTTTTTGTAGAATTTTTTTTTAGAAATAAAATTTTTCCACATAGTAAATTTGATAATTTTTCATTTTTCAATAAATTGATAATAATATTAATATATCGATTAAGACGAAAATTTTACATGAAAGAATCGTAAATAAATGAATTATCACTGGAAAATTTTTTTTTGTAATATTTTTTTTTTTTTTTTTTTTTTTTATTCGACTTGAACACTCCGATGTATATGGAATCTCGATAAACGTTGTAAATATGTAAATTATTAGCAATATTAATATTATAGAAGTTTAAGATTATTTTAATTAAAAACTCTAAATATTATTGACACATAAAGAAAGTCACTAATAGAGCCTTGCTTAAAATAATAAACAAATAATAACAGTGATTTTTTCATAAAAAAAACAAATTGCCAAATAAATAATATGAAAAAAAAAAAAAATTATAAATAATCGATTTTTCTATTTTTATTTTAATGCTTATTTCTTTCGTTTAGTGTAAACTGAGTCTATTCATAATACGAAAGCATTTAATTAATATTTTCTAATTATGTTTTCGTTAGACTGTCTGAAATCAAAAAAACCAAAACGCTCCGAATGAATGTATAAAGAATGTAATAATTGTGTGTGTGTAAAATTATTTTATTTATAGTAATTTTTTTTTTATCTTCAAAAAATTGTCTAACACATTTTTTAAATTTCCATTTGATTAAAGGTGGATTAGGATTCCCTTCGCAAGGAGGAAGTCAAGACAAAATAAATAAAAAAATAAAAAAAAATTTTTTTCAAAAAAAAAAAAAAGAACTAATTTATAAGGATATAAAAATAATTACTCAACGCACAATAGAAAAAAAAATTTGTACTCTCTTTAAAAAAAAAAAAATTATTTTCAATTTCGTTAAGGCATTTAATTTGACTATTTTGCGAAATATATTTTATTAAATATTTATTATTATGAAAAGTGACATGTCATTAAATATATTTGACAGAGAATTGTTATTTGTTTTGAAATAAGTAGCTTTTAAATTCAATACTCCTATTTTTGAGTTGTGTCTAATGATTATTAAAGAAAAAAAAAAAATGCAGAACATTTTAAATCAAGTTCCTTTATTTCATTTTATTAAAAAAAATTAAATATATAAAGACGTAAAATTAAATTATTTTCAAAGATCCCACTGCATTATTTT